CGCTATGGAGGAGTCTCGCGACGCTTCCGCCCAGGCGGTCGCTTCGACGATCTCTCCCGTCGTCCCATCCAAAACCCACTCGGAGACCGCGGCGGCGCCCTCCAGTCCCATCTCCGACCCGGCCCTTTCGGCGCTGACCCCGCATTCCCCCTCGGCAATGTCCTCGTCGCCACGCCACCATCACTCGCCAGTGGACGCCCTGCCGGACGCTGCCAGCCCTCCGCCCGCGGCCAGCACCCTGTCTGCCACTCCGCCGAACGACGACCGGGACAGCGACATCGACGAGGCTGCCTCTCCGAAGAGCAGCGGCACCTCTCGATCCAGTAGCCCGTCCCACGCCATCACGCCGATGGCCAACACGGACTCGTTGGCGCCGCCGCCGTCGCACAGTGCCGCCGCCGCCGCCGCCTCCGACTCCGGCTCCGGCTCCGACTCCGGCTCCGACTCCGAGCGTTCCCCCTCTCCCGACGGTGATGCCGAGGCGCCGGTCCCCATGAATGGCGACGCTGCCTCCCCGGCCGCGGCCCCGGGTCCCGGGGAAGAGGCCGATGCCCCGATGGATACCGACCGCCCGGCCGCCTACGCCGCCACCCCGGCGACCTCCCTTTCTCACCATCACCACCATGCCGCGCCGGCCGACTGTGCCGAGTCTGGAGGTGTGTACCCTGTCTCCTTCTCTCTCTCTCTCATGCATCTTGTCCCCCCCGGCTCGCCGCCTGCCGGTGCTGACCGCCCCGCCCCGCCCCGCCCCGCCCCGCCTCCCTCTCATGCGGTCGCCCACAGTCAATGGGACTTCGCGCCCCGCCGAGGCCGGTCGCCAGCCAGCCGACTTGCACACGGCCCTGCAGATGATTGCCAGCCTGGAGGCCGAGAATGCCACCCTCCGGGCAGACCTGGACGCCGCCCGCCTCGAGCTGACGAAGCTCCACACCCGCGCGTCGACCGGGTCCTCCGTGGCCAGTGGCGACGAGCCGGTCTTCTCGCCGCCCATGCAGCATCCGGCCTCGACGCCAGCCGGCACCGCCAGCGACGTCAACGCCGGTCCGATGATCAAGCACGAGCAGCCGGCCCCGGTGGTGGATCCCCTCGCCGGGGGCCTCCCCTCGGAGCACGGGTCCTTCGCCGCCACCGAGCGGCACTCCTCCTCACACCCGCACGACTCCAGCGTCCAGTCGACCCCGGGCCCGAATGACATCCTCGTGGCCAACCCCCCGGAGGGCCCGTTCCACATTCTGTCCTCCTCCCTGGCGGATGTCCCCTTCACGCCGGAGATCTCCAAGGCGGCCAAGACGTGCGCCCCCCCCCCCCCCCCCTCCTGCGCCCAGCTCGCGGTGCCGCCCTTTTTTTTTTTTGTTCGCATGCCCCGATGCTCACCCATTTGCCTTCGCGCGCGCCCCTCCCCCCCAGCCTCCTGAATGGCATCTCCACCCATCGCCAGGCGGCCTGGTTCTTGCACCCGGTGGACCCGGTGGCCTTCGGCATCCCCACCTACTTTGATGTGGTCAAGCAGCCGATGGACCTGGGCACCGTGGCCACCAAGCTGGCCGATGGCAGCTACTTCTCCGTGGCCCAGCTCCTGTTTGACATCTACCTCGTTTTCTACAACTGCCGGCTGTTCAATGCCCCCGGGACGGCGGTCGTCCTGGCGGCCAATGCCGTGGAGAACTCCATCCGCGACCGGGCCAAGCGCTTCATGGCCGTCGTGCGCAAGTACTCCTCGCCGGACATTGTCTACCCGGCGTGGGCCGGGTTCTCCAGCGCGGATCTGGCCCGGCGGTCGCGCCGCGGGCGGACTCCCACCGGGGCCGCCGGCCCGGCCGTCGACGCCAGCCCCGGGTCCACTCCGGCCCCGGATCACCACCACTCCCTGCAGCAGTCGTACGTCGGCGGGGGGGGCGACCTCCCTGTCATGTCGCCCGGGCTGTACCATCCGGCCGGCGCTGTCGGCAGTGCCGGTAGCACCCCCTCGGCGGCCATGGCCGGCGGGGCTGCTTCCTCCCTGCCGGTGCAGGTGAACAGCTTCACGTCCATCGGCCCGGCCGGCGAGGTCCTGTCCATGGACACGGATTTGCAGGCCGTGGCCCCGGCCACCCCGGCCGAGGCCAAGGGGCTGAAGCTGTGCGCGCGCATCCTGGCCGACCTGTCTGCCAACAAGAATCGCCGCTTCAATGTGGCCTTCCTGAACCCGGTGGACCCGGTGCGCGACCAGTGCCCGGACTACCATGACATCGTGCGCGAGCCGATGTCCCTGGCGCGTGTGTCGGCTCGGCTGGCGGCCCAGGCGTACACCCGATGCGGGGAGTTTGTGCGCGACATGCGGCAGATCGGCATCAATTGCGACCGGTACAACCGCCCCGGCGACCTGGTCCATGACATGGGGCGCAACCTGATGAGCGCCTTCGAGGAGCGGGTCCCCGAGATTGAGGCCCTGTCCGGGGTGGACCTGCCCCCGGCGCCGGTCTTCTCGACCAATCAAAGTCGGGCGGCTGCCGCGGCGGCGGCCAGTGCTGCTGCTGCGGCGGCGGC